GTAGCATTTTTCATAGATACTGAATCTGAACATGCAGAACAAATGCAGTCACGGTAAACGCAGCATGTCAAATGAGCAGCCAGCTATGAATAAATGAACACAAACAGAACAGAAAATAGCCCTCCATTTCAAACAGGTGTCACACGGACACCTCACTGACACGAAGAAGTAAAGCGGATTGGCAGGCGAGGACTTTCAAGAAGATCTGTGAGATTTCACACGCAAATCTGAGCTGATCCCTGATGGCTTATTTATCTGTGGCTTTTAATGGTTTATTTCTTGTAGCTTTATGAATAAGACTGAGCACAAATATGCCGTCATTGGCTCTGCACTAACGTCGAGCCGGAGGACCACGGGGGAGGGTTATATTTAACGGGAAGATGCTTTACATAAGAGCTGCCCTACTTTCTGCAGTCTACACTTGCAGCCGTCTTGTTAAATCTGCAGTGTGTACCGTCCTCTCCTCAAAAAGAGTCTCTCTTTCTCTCTGGGTGCGTGTTGTGAATCTTCCTTCTTGGCAGATGTGATATTTTTCTTACCTTCCGTCAAAATCAACATCTCTTTTATCCTCCCTTCTCAATCATTCGCTCTCACTGACTGAATTTGTTTCCGGCTTTCAATCATCTCGCATTCGCTCTGAGTTGTCCTGCATTTCATTCACTCTTCTCCCTCCCTGCATCTCTCTCTCTCCACATGCTGTTTCAACTTCTTTCCTCCTGCGTAAATTTGAGAATTTCACATCACATACACATGGGGCTCAAACCACAACCTAAAAAAAAAATCCCATTTGAAGGAGTATTACACTGCATATCTCAAAAATGGCAAATCTGAGTTACCATCAGCATGTAAAAAAAACAACAACAAAAAAAACAGGTTGTTATGCCTTGAATAATTTAACAGACTTTCATTACACAGTTAGAAAACAATGTGCACATTGGGTTTCTCGCTAAACCAGACAGAATTACACTGAAAACAATGGGCCTCATTAATGAACAAGCAGAACGGATTTCTGTGTAAACTGTGACCGTTAATTGTCATTTGTTTCTTCATCAGAACAGATTTAGAGAAATGTAGCATTGCATCACTTGCTCATCAATGGATCCTCTGCAGTGAATGGGTGCCGTCAGAATGAGAGTCCAAACAGCTGATAAAAACATCACAATAATCCGTAATTCACACCACTCCAGTCCACCAGTTATGAGTAAAAATATAAAAAATTTAATTTTTGCTAAACTCTCCTCTCTAGTGTACATTTTTCTCACTAGTTTATGGACACTGAATGGATTTTCTGAGGTTATGTGACAGTGTTTTCATGCTGCTGTCTTTCCACGGTTGAAACATTCATTGAGTGATTACATGAGACACTGATCATTTTGAAAGTTGTAGTGTATCTTTCAACACACCCTCGGATGTTCATTCATGTTTATTTCACGCTAATTAGAATGCACTCCTGCTTCGCTCGAACTGAAGCAAAGTGAGCCGTCACGCCACTAAAGAGCTCCAAAACTGTATTTATCGTTTGCAATTCTTAATAAAACTAAGAGAAGAGACTTTGTGTCCTATTATCAAAAGTAACCTGCTCTGTCTTGTCTATCAGCGTGTTGTCTGTGTGCTCTTTGCTCTGAGATGTTTTTCACGCCATAAGAAAATGAACATGTGGCGTGAGAGTTAGCAGAGGCTGGAAGCTCCACCGGACGAGATGAAGCGCGATGAGTTCAAGGCTAAAATAAATGCTTCTTTCAGTTTGATTAAACAAAGAAAATGAAATAGTAGCATATTATATTTTGGGGTGGCCAATCAGATGTCAGGGGTGTCCAGTGCCACCCTGGACATCTATCTGGCTCCGCCACTGCCTAAGGGTGAGTACATTTTCAGCAAATTTACATTTTTGGTTGAACTATTCACATCTGATTACAGCAAAGGTCACTTAAATGTTAAAATAAGGGGAATGAACAACATACACAATTACACATCCAATATCGGGCAATATACAGTATATACAAAAAGAACCAAAAATATTGTCTAATAATTGTTATGGCATATCAATTTACTAAAAGTGAACAAGAGAGTGGCTAACCGCACACTGATCCACTCAAGACTGGAAAAGTCTACAAAAACATATTTTTTATTTTATAAAATAAAAAGGATGTTTTTGTAGACTTTTCCAGTCTTGAGTGGATAAGTGTGTGTTTAGCCACTCTCTTGTTCATTTTCAAGTTTCCCATTGGCTCTACGCACCTGCAGTAAAAATAATTATTTTTTTCCTGTTTGGAGCGCTACAATTTTCTCAAATATCAACTTACTAAGAAATTTGTTCTTTGTAAATGAGGCCCCTTGTGGCTTTAAAATCTATATGAATTTATTCAAGAATAGTTTTGTGAGAGATTTACACAAATCCATTCTGATTATGTTTCTTCAATGAGGCATTCATGATTTGTATTAATATTAATATTTGTATGCAGACAAATCAAAAGGATTACAAAAGTAGGAGCTCTAAAACTGTTAACATATGAACACTGGCAGTTTAGAGGAAGAATTACACTGGAGACTCAAAGCTCTATGGAAACTGAGTGGGTGGGAGAGTATTATCCGTTGGCTGTTAGCTTTTTATTCTGTGAACACTTTAAGCCTTTTATAGCTATTTGTAATATAAAGGCCTCATGATGATAGAATTTCCAAACAATAACTTGGAATTATATTATGGCTTGACTTTCCCATATTAAGAGTTGAAGTGAGAAGCAGGGGATGTTTCATATGGCACTCTATCAAACTCATTCTATTTCTGCAGTATAGTACAGTCATGCATACTGTGCACAGAATGCATTTTTTTTTTTTGTACACGTGGAATATGTGGCATATAAGCATATAAGAGAGCACACTATGAGAGATTTTGTGTTGATTTCAATCATTATGCATGTGGTTTTACAATCTTTAAAACATTTTTAAACAAACTTAGGTCCAAAATGCAAGCAAGGAAGCAAGCAAACAAACAAACCAACACATTTTTTAATTTTAGATAACACTGAATTAGGGATATGCCGATATCAAATTTCCATGTTGCGATTAATTGCTAATGCTTTTATCACGGTATACGGTATTGTCACGATATTGAAATTTAGTTTAAAAAAGTGCTGTCATAATACAGTATAACAGGTTTAATAACTTTTTTTCTAATAACAAAAATAACTGAACATTTAAATGCAATAAAGCAAGTTTGAAAATAAATAGCCTATTAAGTATAAATATTTAAGTATTTGGCGCTGTGATGAACATCATAGCAAACACACAAATCGGAATGGCTGTTTAAACCATTTAAACACTATTCAGAAACAGAAAGTAGTGCAGCTGCTTTGTTTACAGGGTAACGGGTGCATTTAAATGAATTATTATTATTATTATTATTTCTGCAGTTTAGCGCCATCTGCTGTCAGAGAGTGAAAGTCTGTCGAATCGCGATCTCGATTCCATTTCGATTTATCGTGCAGCCCTAATGCATACTGTTTCACATAGGGTTGTGCTGGAGATTTACTAGCTACTAATCACAGAACCGCCTTTACTGACAAGATGTGCATGAAAATCGCATTCAATTTTTTGCACAGTGCCAATATATATATATTAGGGATGGGAAGATTCCCCGATTCGCTCGGTGCATCGGCATAAAAAGTTAGCGATGCATCGGTTTAAAAAGTGTGCATCGGCTACAAGCTGTCATTTATATTTTATCGTTTCTATCGTTTCTAACATATTTGCATCGGTAAAAACCAATTCATTTATATATAATTACTAGTGGATGCGCTGTACTTTTATTATTTGGAAAGTGACCAATAATCTGTGACCAATATTTTATATGTAGTTTGATTTCTCCTCTCTAAACTGTTTCTCAAGCGCGCGCTTAGTCTGATAGTTAACCTGCTTTAGACCAGGTTAGTTTCCCAGCATAAGTTGCCACGGTGACTGAAGTTGATCTATGTTAAGTTTGCTTTATGGAACCAAATCATTTGACAATGAGTCAGACTAACTGAAATAAGCTTGGCTTATTTGGTTAACTTGTTTTATGAAACAGGCCTTGAGGCATTAAAAGTGATCATATTTTCTCCATTGCATCGCATCGAATCGAATCGAATCGCACTGCATCGGTAGCTGCTTCATATGTATCTTTAATGTATCGTATCGTTGGCTATGCATCGAGATGCGTATCGTATCGGCCTCAGTCATGAGATGCACATCCCTAATATACATATACATATATATATATATATATAGTCAAATTTAAAATAGTGTTTTATATTGGAATATATATTGCTGCTCAAGAAACATTTCTTATTATCAGTGGTGAAAACCGCTGTGCTCTCTCATATTTTTGGGAAAATCATGCAATGCAAAGCAAAAGTTTGGTAACAAATGAATTAATACTTTTATTAAGCAAGAAGACTTTACATTTTTTTTAAAGTGACAGTAAATACATTTAATGTTAAGATTTTTTTTTTCTTCAAATAAATGTTGCTTGTTTTAAACTTTCCATTCATTAAAGAAGAATCCTAAAAATGTATCAATAAAATACGAAGCAGTTTTCATTTGCTGCTTCAACAGAAATATCACAAATATTGAGATGAACATATCTGCATCTTAGAGACTATATCACGGGGAATAATGCAAAAATGGCACGCGCTTGTGCTGCAGATAAATAAATGAACATTGGTGTAATTACCTGTAATTATAAGAGGGGAACTTCTTGCTTTCCTTCAGAAGCAGTCTGTAGAGTGACAGTACACGCTCTCTGCTGGACGCCGCCATGATGGAAACTGCTGGCAGTTCAACGCAAGGACCCAGAACAGCTACAAGAGGCGCGCCTGAACACATACACTCGCTTTTCTGTTCAAATACAGAAGTAAAGCTGATTTTCAAGTTTAATTAATGAAGTATTCTATATCTAAAATATCCTAAGGTACTACAGTACACATAATGCGCTCTAAATAAATATATTCTACGAGATGTGTTGTGTTTACAGTGATCAGGCACATCAGCAGTCGCCTCAATAACAGCACGCGTGTCAACAGAGGTGAGTGGAGGGTTCTTCAGTAGTTTCCACGCGTGGATTGCACACATTTATTCTGTATTTGTAAATTATGAAATGAGAATTGGTGTCAGGGTGATTATATAGCGGCTGTTATGTGAAGTGGTCCAGTGGCTCGTTATTATGTGTATTAAGTTGTCCGTTTGAGTGTAAATTGCAGGCTAGCCATAGCTTGATCATAATAAGAATGTCTTGCTCATGTGCAAGCAGTTCAGTGTATTTGGCCTTTACCTCATGCTCTGTGTGTGATTTCAGTTGCTCTGTTGTTTTGATGTAGGTGATAGTATTTCATTTATTATGTTAGGCTGAAACCCAGTTTTTATAGTTTAGTGCTAACTTATTTACTATAATATTTACTTAAAACACCCCCTGAATGTTTAAATGAATGGTAATTTAAGTAATACATGTCAATTTGTTTTGCACTTTGCTCAAAAAAATTGTAAAAAATAAATATATATATATATTAATTTGTTATTTGTTAGTGTATATTTTTAGTTTTAATAAATTTCTAATTTAAATAAACGCTGTTCTTACACACACAGACACACACACACACACACACACACACACACACACACACACACACTATATATATATATTTTGGCCAGGTATATATATATATATATAAATAATTTTTCAACATTGGTATCTTTCCACCTTTCCACCAGTTTTCATAGACCAAATTCTCACTGTTCTTGAACAAATTAATGACTCTAAAATAATTATAGTTATCATTACGAAATAAAAAATATTAAACAAAATAAGAAATATATTGTAATAATACTAAATTTAAATACTAAAATAAGTGCTGTAAAATAAAAATAATTATAAAAATTATTTTATTTTACTGTAAAATTACTGAAATGTATGTGTTTCAAAACATCAAGATTTTTTTTGCCAGGTTGCCAGCAATTAAAAATATGCACCGCATATTGTGTAGCCCTACTCCAGATGCTTTTAACTTCAAAATGCACAACATTTTCTTGCAGGCGAGCTGGACCCCAGTGCTCCTCTGCTGTTTGAGCTATTGAAATATTGACCATTTTACCAGCTTCCACTTCCATTTCAGGCTAAATGCTATATCAGTTAGAGTTTCTGTTTATTAGCAAAAGTGCAGCTACAAATCCACAAATTGTATGAGCATGTTTATCATGTTCTCTGATGCAAACTGGAGCTCTGATCCCTCAGCTTCCAGGAGCCTTGTGTTTTCAGGCAGCGACTTCCTGTTCACAAACATTTTAAAGCCGGGTCATTCCGTGTCAAATCAACGGAATCATATAGAGCCTTTAAAATGAAGATATCAAAAGAAAGGTTTGTTAAGAACTAAAATCTAAAAGGACATTAAGATATATTTGATACTTAAAGGGGTCATATGATGTTGCTAAAAAGAACATTATTTTGTGTATTTGGTGTAATGAAATGTGTTTATGCGGCTCTTTGGATTTGAGACTTTAGTCTTTGCAACTTTACAGATCTTCTTTATGCACCAAGAGCTTGTAACACTCCAAAGAGAAAGGAAAAATTGAAATCGCATCATATGACCCCTTTAAGAGTTGCAGGCATGCAACATTTGGGGAAAATGTGTAAAGTGCTTTTTCCCATATTTGAACTGTCACCTTTGGCATATAATGCAACAAAAAATGATAAAGTCAACTGATCTCTACTTACAGACATGTCAGTCTTTGTGTAAAAATGATGCTGTCATCTTTTTAATGTCATCTTTACCCTCTGTAATTTGGCTCCAAATCTCTGCAAAATAGTAGCTTACTCAGTAAATAATCATGGCGTTTAATATTTAGGCTTTCTTCCTTATTTATGTGTTTCTTTCACCAGAATCCAATTTTTTAGCCAGGGACCTTTGGTTAAGTTGAATGACCCAGCTTTGATCATAACAGGAGAGATCCATCAGATGGATTTGGCTGCAGATCTAAGCGTAGCAAGTGAGATTGAGTGTGTAGAAATCTGTTATCTCAGAACCTCCTTGTCCACTTTGCCTGTGAAATGCTGGCTAAGGGAATCATATGGCGCTCTGTCTTGTGAAGAGCGGATGTTTGAAGAGCCTTGCTCTAAAATTAAAGTATGAAATAAGTCACATCTCAAATGAATGTCTCTGTGATGTGTTGAAATCTGTGTGAGGCACTGCTGGAAACGACAGTAAAATTGTCAGTGACTTATTTTATGACTGCCATCCATCAGTAAAATTAATGCTTAATTTAGCAGGACCGAACATGTTTCTATTGTTGTGAAATGAACTGTAAAGTTCTGTTGAATTAAGACGCTGATGACTGTTGGTGTTTTTATGAGTATTTTAGTCACTTTAATGAGTAGTCCAGTAAGTCTTCAGTGGATTGTAAACTAGTGCTGGTGACAAAATCTGACATCATGGTTCAAAGAAGAACCATAAAATAAGTTAATATGGCTGTTGTAACTCATTCTGGAGAACCCTTAGAGAAACCAGACTTTATTACTGAATTGTTTGGACTGAACAGAACAGTCTGGGAGTGGCAGTGAGTTTTAGTGAATGCATCAGAAAGTAAGCACAAACAAAGTATATGAGCGAAAGTCTTTCTTTCTTTTTAATTTTTCATCAGAGCGATTGGACATCGGAAATTTCTTTGTTAGAAGCAAAATACAGTCAAATGGAATAAATTATAAATATACACTCTAGGTTAAAAAGGGACAAACCCAGCTATTGGGTTGTTTTGACCCAGCGGTTGGGTTGTTTTGTGTTTTGACCCAGCGGTTGGGTTGTTGGAGCATTTATTATGTTGTTATGTTTGTGTTCTGTGTATTTGCAGCTCGTGTGTTTATTCAGTGCTGCACAGCATACTGCCAAGGTTTTAGCTTGAATTGTTATTTTCCAAGGCTGATTCTCTGCAGATAACAAATCAACCCATCATCACCATCCGCTTGATGAAAAACACAAGCTGCATGAGGAGCATGTTTCTGTGCCTTTTCTGTCTCTGGTGCATGAAGAACGGGTCTGTCTTTGAGCCGCAGAGATGGATGTTGTGCTCATAAGACATGATTGTGGGGAGATGTAGTGCTGAAGATGAGCTTGGCTTTAAAGGGTGTCCGCTTCTCTGCGCCACTTGGAGAAGGTCACAGACGTGTTCTGTTTGCAGATGGCCTTAGCTTTGAGTGGAAAGGTCACCAGTAGGGATGCACCGATACCACTTTTTCCAGTACTCGCCCGATACGATACTTTTATTTTTGGTACTTGCCGATACCGAGTACCGATACCGATATTTTTATTG